TAGGTTTCCATGTCTTCCTGCGTATAGCAATTGTTTCCAAGGCTATAGAACCCGGTCTGTCCTGCTATTTACCCATAGCTGGAGGGAGAAGTGGATTCATGCCTTTTCCCAAAGGTATTAAGCTGCGTTATGAAACGTAAAGGAATATTGTATTTCTGCTTGTGTTTCAGTCCCAAGCTGGACCATTATATAGATGCTATATAATCATTAAATTTCCTGTATTCCAAAATCCGAAAAACTATCTGAAAACCGTAGTTCTTCGGGTCCCAAGAATTTCGGGTTATGGCTTCTCAACCTGTATTATCAATACCATTCATGGCACTTGCCCGTTTCTTCCATTGAACCAAACCATATAAGAATTCATCAATGCCAAATACAGGAATTGAAGTGCAAATTACCAGTTTACCACATATACCTAAACTAAAGCTTTTAATCCGCAAGGCCATGGGGATTAAAGACAAGTTTCAGTTTAAAATTCAGAAACAGCTACCGATTACAATGACAGGGTCCTGAAGAAGGATAGGGAGCATAACGATAGAAGCGTTGTGAGTGTAACAACCAGGATGAGGCCAGAAAAATAATGTATATGATAATGACAATCATTTATTTCAAAATTCCGACCTAAATTAATATTTCTTGGAGAAATAGATACTGATGAAAAAGGATTTAAAATTAAAAATAAATAGTAAATAATATTTCAGAGTTTAGGTGAAGACATCAAAAGTACAGAGTTAAAGTAAACTTTAAAAGGAATCGGAAACCCAGCCCTAAATAGAATAGAAGGGATAAACCTCTACTCCTGTTCAAAAGACAGGGGAGAAGTGTGAACTGGACAATAGGCATACCTATCTACTTCTATTGTGAAAGGAAAAAAATAATAATTACTGAATAAAATTTCAGATTTCAGTCGAGACGTCAGAAGTACAGAGTTGAAGGAAGCGGAAACCCAATCCTAAACAGGAAACAATGGATAAACCTCTACTACTGTTCAAAAGACAGGGGAGAAGTGTGAACTGGACGACAGGCAAACCTATCTACTTCTATTGTGAAAGGAAAAAAAAAATAATTACTGAATAAAATTTCAGATTTCCTGTCGAGACGTCCGGAGTATAGAGTTGAAGGAACCGTCTAAACAGGAAACAATGGATAAATACTACTGTTGAAGTGAACTGGACGACAGGCAAACCTATCAATGAAAGGAAAAAAAATAAACTGAATAAAAGGAAGACAATGGAAAAATCCTAAACAGGAAACTAAACCTCTACTACTGTTCAAAAGACAGGGGAGAAGTGTGAACTGGACGACAGGCAAAACGACCTACTCCTATTTGGAAGGGAAAAAATAATTACTGAATAAAATTTCAGATTTCAGTCGAGACGTCAGGAGTACAGAGTTGAAGGGACCGGAAACCCAATCCTAAACAGGAAACAATGGATAAACCTCTACTATCTTTTTTAAATGTCATATCTATTCGAGACGTAGATCAATGCTCTTAACAGTTTAATTTTATTATTATCTGTCAATTGCCATAAACTATTGGGAAATATAGTGAAGTGATTTACCGTTGTTCCTCCACAGTTTAACATTCAGAGTTAACCTTAGACAAGTTGCCATCCAAAGCCAGAGACATCAGTCTGCTATTTAACCCACAGATAGGGAGGTCAGTAAAATTTACTGGATAGAAATAAATGAAGACATGCTGAAATTAGAATGAATGGAATTGATAAAAATTTAGAAGCTGGAAAAATTGAGAAATTTCTGAGAATATCAGGATATATTAATAGTTAACTGATAAATAATGATTCAAAAGACTTATCTTCCTACTTCAAGTCTCGCAGCAACACCGCTGTTCAGGGCAAGATAAATCTATTGTGTTCATTGGAAGATATCTACATTAAAAAACTATCTGTCTAGTTTAAGAGAGAGGAACCAGAGACGTTATCAAATGAGTTTCGCTTGAAGAATCCATGCGAAAACAAGTAGGAGTGTTGTGAAGGAGGGAAGTTAAAAGGAGATTTGTCAAAGGAGGGGGGAGCTTTGGACAGGGTTCTTGTTAAATGTGGTACGGGATAAAAGTGGAAAGCAAAAAAGCAAACATGGGCGGAGAGGTGAAGTGGAAATGGCTTTATTTTAAAGGTGTGGCAAAGAAGGATGGAGCGATTGTTGGGAAACACAGGAACGGAGACTAATGCTGAAAAAAGATGCTGGGTGATGTGAGAAGGGACGATCAAAGGGAAAAATCAGAGTCGGGTTTCGAATAAGAATTGTGGTTGTTCGAAAACGCGGAATGGAGGAGTGTAGAGTGTGACTCGAGAGTAGAAGTGAAGTGGTTATCAGAACGAGGCTGGGATTCCAGTGTGTGAAACATGAAATGGACTTCCTATTATTGTTATTGTCTTCTTCTTCTGCTTCTTCATCTTCTTCTTCTTCTTCTTCTTCTTATTATTATTATTATTATTATTATTATTATCATTATTAGAAGAAGAAGAAGAAGAGAAGGAAGGAGGAGGAGGAGAAACAAAAAATAACAGTAGTAGTAGTAGAAGAAAAAGATTAAGAAACAAAAAAAACAGTATGGTGGAAAAGAAGACAAAAAAAGATTAAGAAAAGAAAAAAAGTAGTATGGAAAATATTAAAAGAAAAAAGAAAAAAAAAGATTAAGAAGAAGAAAAAGAAGAAGTAAAAGAAGAAGAAAAAGAAAAATATTAAGAAGAAAAAGAAGAAAAAAGAAGAAAAAGAATATTATGAAAGAAAAAAGAAAAAGAAGAAAAAGGAAAAAGAAGAAGAAAAGATTAAGAAGAAAAAGAAGAAGAATATTAAAAAGAAGAAAAAGAAGGTTTATTTTTACTTTTACTCGTAAAATACTTTCATAAATTTTTGACGAGTAAAACAGTTTTTAATTATTCACTTAAGAATATTATTTATATGTAATTAAAATATATTTAGACGAACTTAAACAAATGAAGAAGAGACTTGAAGCGACAGAGATATGATTCTATTAAAATTTGCTAAGAATACCATAGACATAGCATGAGAGTAATGAGGAAGTTTTTTTAGGAGAATAAGAACTACAAAGAAAAGTGGTTCTGATAAACATATACAGACACAGCTGAAGATTTTAAGGGGCATTGGAATAGCGAAAGTTGCCATCCAGAAATCTGGCAACGTATTTAGACATTTTTAAAATCAAACTTACCCCAAGCAAGGCATTAAAGCCACTAAGACACAAATGGGTTACTGAGTGTCAAAGAATTAAAAAATAGAAACATTACGAAGGAGCCAGAATAAGAGAAGCGTGATCAGGAAGGTGGCAGATAAAGATTGACATTACATTTAAATTTTTGAAGATCAAAGTTGGCTGGAAAGCATGGAGCCAGTAAAGAGTTTCATAAACAAGAAGTGCGAGAAAAGAAACTCTGGGCATAGAACTACGGTTGCATCTAGCCAATTTCACTTTAAATTGATGAGACCTTGTTGCTAATATAGTACTGCACTTAAATTCATAAAGTCTAGGTACCATAGCAAAGAGCGATATTTATTTTATGCTTCAGTACAGAAAATGTGGAACAAAGCCAAAATGGAGGATGGGGAAAAGGGTGGTCTTCTTCTGTCTTAACGTTTAAACTTAGCTAGTTAGTTTTATTCCCCTACCCCTACAGACATATGGGGATTAATTAGGGTTTTCATAGAGACAAAGCGGTATTATGGTGATTGTCGTAAGAAAAGTAAATAAGAATGCGTTGTTTTGATGTAAGGTGCCGTTGCGAAGAGCTCATCCGGACAATTAGCATGAAAGTATTTATAGAGGAGGTACAGGCAAGCTACTTCACAGCGGTGGGAAAGTGACTGAAGGCGAGATGCCAGGTCAGTACCAATAATATTACTGATACTTTTGATTTTATCAAGAATCTCTAATTATATAGCGGAGGTAATATTCGAAGTATGAACGAATGGCAGACTTATAGATATGTAAGATATATTCTTGAGAGAAAATTGTATAGCACATTCAAAGTGAGCTATCTTCCTTAGCAATTGACCTAGCAATGGATTCAATGTAGACTTTCTACTTCATGACAGCCGAGAAGGTTAACCTGAGGAAGCGCAATGAGTCACTCACCTGATGGAAGGCAAAATGAGATTTCTCAGATTATTAATAAAGAGCAGTTATGTTTTGGTGGCGTTGAAATTAACAAGCCATTCTTTGCCCCAGTTAACAACTGACTGTAGGTAATTTTTGAGATCAGCCGCCAATTTGATCTTATCAATCTGATCAGATTAACTATTGCGTGCAAGAGTAAATGGTTGTGTCATCAGCATAGACACTAAGTTAGAAGTTGATGTGTGTGTGGGGTTGTGTGTGCATATATGTGTGCGTCTTTGTGAGAGAGAGAGAGAGAAATAGAAACTATTTACATTGCTCGGACTATCATCCTCATCTTTGTTGCCATATTTATCACAACGTTTCGGCCGTTGTACGCTCCGGCCTTCTTCAGGTGGTTGGAATGTCGAACTGAACCCTTTAATTAATAAAGGGTTCAGTTCGACATTTATTTAGTAAAGGGAACAGTGGATAAATGCTTTAGTTAGATCCAGTGACAGGACCCGAAGTGTGTGAGTTCAATACCTGGTTAAGGTGGTAGAGAACTTTGAGAGGGGAATTAACAGGAGATAACTGATAACTGACATCCATTAGACATGGCATGTGGAACTAGAACAGTCTACCCCAGTGAGCGAAATAAAGGGTTCAGTTCGACATTCCAACCACCTGAAGAAGGCCGGAGCGTACAACGTTGAAAGATGAAGACAACAGTCCGAATAGTGTAAATAGTGTAAAACTAATTGCGAAAAGACAAAAAAGAAATGTCATGAAATACTGCCACATCATATTTGTACATGTATATGGCAGTGAATTCTGGAGAATTTCTTTACAGTTAAAGAGAATCGATGCGACAAAGATGTAGTTTCTACAGAAGAATACTGATGCTATGAAAATACGAGCAGACGTCCATATTCGGTTAAAACAGCGGTTCCCGTAAGATCACCGAAGTTAGACAACGTCTAGCCTAGAGAAGTACCTAGACGGGTGACCGCTTGGGAATATCAAGTGCTGTAAACTTGGATGCGCGGGTGGTGTTATGGATAATGGCTCAGAATTGATAATCCGAGAACCGAGTTCCAATTCCAGTCAGGTTCGTTATATTCACTTGCGCGTAAATACCCATGGGTAAGGTATGAATCCACCTCTTCTCCCTACAGCTATGGGTTGATTAGTAAGACTTGCATCACTAAATCATTCTTATCTCCCAAAAAGAAATTCTTACAACTTAAAAAAAAAATTTCTGGCTTTAAATAACCTGCAAAGAGTTGATAAGCCGTAAAAATAGAATAAATAAATAAGAGAAAACATGTGAGCAATAAGAAACTTTTAAGGAAAATGGGAAGTAAAATGATACTTATACTTACAATCAGGAAGTGACAGTTGACATTTCTAGAACACATAATGAGGAATGAGGGCTTGGCGAATTTAACACTCACGTGATATACTGATGGCAAGCGGAGCTGGGATTGGGATGGAAAACGAGTAAACTACCTAAAGAGTTTGTATGAATAGATGACAGACTAAAAAAAAAATACGGATAACAAAAATGTCAGAGCTGCAAGGAAGTTGTGAAGAACCATGATCCCCCACGTCCTGACGGGACATGTCACATAAAAGAAGAGAATGGATTTATTATTATAAATCGGTAATTAGTGAAAGAGATTTAATATCATTATTAGTAAAATATTTACGATGGTCATTTTTGAATTACTAAAATAGTTTTAAAAAGCATATTTATTTTTCTTGGCTTACAACAATATCACGTCGAAACATCAGTTGTCTTATGTAAAGTTAAGCAACGTCGAAATTTCTCCGCGCTTAGATGGGTGTCCACTTGAGAATGCTAATTGTTGCAAGATTTGATAATGCATGAAAATGTTCAATCTCTACAACAGACCCCAAAGGCTGAGCTCCTTACAAGAATGGTAATATGTTGTGCCGGGATATTTTTCATTTAGGGTTCTTGAGACGCAGTAAAATACAAAATACACCTTTACAGCTCTAGCAGCTGCAACGCGCCCATAAAAGTTTGTTTAAAAAGCACCCTGCACTTGTTAATTGAAAAAAATGTCGTTCTAATGCATAACAACACAAGACTGTATATAGCAAGAATAACACAAGGAAAATACAGAATTCCGCTGGTCTGTTCTACTCAGTTTGCGGCTGAGTAGAACAGACCAGCCGAGTTCCAAATGTTTCTTTTTAAGATGCAAGAGCTCGTTGAAAACTTTTTCACATCAAAATCTACGCTATTTTACACAAAAGGCATCGAAGAGCTGCCTGATAAGTTGCAACAAATCATTACAAGTAATGATGAATGCACAGCGTGTCCACAGTCTTTAGACAATTTCCAAAAGTCATTAGAAATAATGGTGTATGCTCTCACCATAGAGAAACCACCCCGCCTCCTATCAGTATGGCTGATGCACAACTTCACAAGAGCGTCTCTCTGTCCCTTCTTGGTCTTGCATTTTCTACTGACCTGAGTTGGAACAACTACATTGAATCAATCGCTACATCTACCGCAAGGAAAGTTGTTTCTCTGCGTCATGCCAGAAGGTTTTTCTTGTCTGAATCCATCCTTCAAATCTACAAATCTTCCATTCATCCTTGCATTGAATACTGTTGCCAGACAAAGACGCATATGCAATGTGATAGGTCCTGACCTGGCATCTCGTCTCCAGTCACTTTCTCACAGATGTGATGTGGTTTCTTCTCTCATAATTCTCAGCAGTGGAACTCTCTTTCTCTTACTTGCTTCCATGATAACTCTAATCTTCAAAAATTTAAATGTAATGTCAATCGACATCTTCTGTTGCCTTGATCTTGATGTCCGCCTTTCTTTTTATCCTTTCCTCAAACACCCCCCTCTTTACTCTTACTTTCACTCTCTGTAACCCCTTGCATGTTAGTGGCACTATCCCCTTGCTTGGGGTGAAATGCTATATATATATATATATATATATATATATATATATATATATATATATATATATATATATATATATGGCTGATGCTCAACTTCACAAGAGCGTCTCTCTGTCCCTTCTTGGTCTAGCGTTTTCCACTGATCTGAGGTGGAACCACTACATTGAATCAATAGCTTCATCTACCGCAAGGAAAGTTGGTTCTCTCTGTCATGCCAGAAGGTTTTTCTTGTCTGAGTCAATCCTTCAAATCTACCATTCGCCTTTGCATTGAATACTGTTACCATATATGGTCTGGTACCCCCACTGTTTATCTCGAGGTTCTCGTCAAAATCGAAAGACGGATATACAATGTGATAGGTCCTGACTTGGCATCACGACTCCAGTCACTTTCTCACAGACGTTATGTGTCTTTTCTCTGTCATTTCTACAAATATTTTCATGGCAACTGCTCTGACGGACTGTTTTTACTGGTGTCCCAGCTCCATGAATTTAAGCGTGCTACTAGGTTGGCATATTGTTCCCACCTTTTCACCGTCGAAAGTGTTAAATGTAGCCGTTTCTTCTACTCCAACAACTTCATGTCTCGCACTTCCCGTCTGTGAAACTCCCTTCCTCTTACTTGCTTCCCTGATAGCTATAATCTTCAACTATTCAAATGCAATGTCAATCGACATCTCCAAATGCCTTGATCTATTCCCCGTCTTTCTCTTCATCCTTTCCTCTATCACGCCTTTTTACACTTGCTCCCACTCTCTATAACCCCTTGCGTTCTAGTGACACTCCCACCTTGTTTGAAGTGAATTTTTTTTTAAATATAGCTGTAAGGAGAAGAGATTTTTTATTGTTCACACGATGCAAGGCCTAAGAGCCATTCAAGTCAGAGGATTACTGACTGATGTTAAAGTAAAGAAGGAACAAGTAAAGAGTAAGAGATGCAATTTATTATTATGAGGATATGTAAAATAGATAATGGTCGACCCTAAACGTGAAGCGGTTAAGATTGTAGGAATCTGGGGAGGCCTCCTTTCGGATGTCTGTTCCACAGTGTAGCAGTTCCGAAGAAGAAGCTGTTTCAGTGGTACTTCCTCCTTGCTAATGGAATATGAAGGGAATGAGGAAGACTAGAATCAGTGTATGTGACCTGACGGGCTGTGAAACTAGTGTCATTAAGGAATGAGGCTCGCTGGAAAGCACGAAAGTGGACGCAGCAGACGAGGCGAGAATTCGAACTAGGTTTGTCGATTCCACTTCCAGCGCTGTTAAACGTCGCGCAACCTGTTTCTCTAAAATACTAATTCTAAAAACGAAAATGAAAGAATTTTTGTTGAGCCGAATTTAGGAATATTTTTTCCAGATCACAGAAATACTGGAACACATTGTCAAGGTTTTAGGGATTTATAGAGAGTTGCTGTCACTTGATCGCTGGCGATAACCAAACTAGACACCTGGTATGAAAAAAATAAAAAAAAAAGACATCGTATTTAGAGACCGCAGCCACAAAAAGTGCCTCCTTATTGATATGGCAGTTCTTTCAGACAGCAATTTATCTTTGAAGATGTTCAAAAAGCTATCAAAATACAAGGTCCTTGAAATCGAAATCACAAAAATGTGGCACATGAGATCATTAACAACTGCAGTTGGAGCCCTCGGATTGCTTGGAAAAGATTTCAACAGATTCACTGAAGGGATTAGTGGCAGCTCTTAAAGAAATGCAAATAATTGTCCTAATGTGTAGAGTCCACACCTTACGAAGGGCTTTTATCTATGTAAAATATATGTGATTTTCTTTTTTCAAAATTGCTCAGTGAAAAATGTCACGATGCCATTTCTGCCCTTAGGTTTCTGGTCGGGACCCGGAAAGAAACGAGTACAGACCAGAAATCAAAGGAAATAAAATAAAAATAAAAATAATGATAAGGGTAAAATCCTGGACGCCATAAAAATATTTAAGGAATGGTTTATTTATTTTGATAAAAAATATGTATCAGTCATATAAAAGTTAATGAGTCGCAAATCATTCTCTCTGATACCAGACCAATTACGACGAAAATATGTACAGGTGTTCACTTAATTACTTATAAACCTATATGTACAGATGTTCACTTATTTACTTATAGACCTATATCTGGTTCGAAATAATTACTCTTAATTTGGCTGAAAAACTGTAACCCTAAATGCGGAGGTATCGGACTGTACGTGACTTTGATTGCAACGTTCAACGGAAATATGCGTGCAGTTAACATTCATTGGTACCTAGTTTAGTGAGTTAGTCCGTCGTTCTTTCTTCTCATGTTTTGTTATGACGTGAGTGTTATAACTGAAACGGTTCTGCAATCTTTACGATCTTGCACTGATCAAATTATCCCACCCCTTGCTGATTTAGCTAAAATGATAAATGTTTATGCGTGAAACTCAGGATAAGTATACCGAATAAAACACGAGAAATATTCAAGTTGCATTCTTCTTCTTTATGTGCCGTGTCCGCTCAGGACGTTGCCGATCGTGGCTCTCCACAATTGACTGTCCTTTGTAGCTCTTAATAAATTTCGCTATTTCTCCTAAACTTTGTCCCGCCGTCGATTTACTTAAGTTCATCTTAAGTATGTTGTTTTGCCTCTGTCGCGATTTTCCTCAATCTGTCTTGTGAGTATTAGATTTTCCAAGCCCCCTTTTTCTCATTAGGCGCACCAGAAATTTCAACTGTCTCTTTCTGATGTTAAGTATAAGTTTCCGTTTTGTTTCAATTTTTTTCTATAAACTTCGTCTTTTGCTCACGTGTTCGGTCCATGGTATCCTCAGCATCCTTCTGTAGAACCTCATTTCTGTTGCTTCAGGTCTCTTCTTCATCTTTTAAAACCACTCATATAATTAGAAAAAAATATTATATACCAAAATTTAACATGATTTGGATAGGTTGAATAGCTAAATGAAATTAGTCGAAGGTCTAAATAAATAAATGTTTCGACGTAGTTGGATTAATTTGTTTAGAATTTACTTCCTTTTCAGAATTGATTGGCAAGTCAAGGTAAAGTAGAATTTTGCTCTAAAATTCTTTCAGATTAAAAAAAAATAACACGTTTATAACTCTCTATTGATTCTTTCGGAAGGCGTTCTTATTCATGAAATGCTTGATCGTCTGCATGTTATTATTCGTTTTTATTATGTTAACTGTCTATATTTCTGAGATGAGGTATTATGTACACTATTTACATTATTTGAACTATTGCCCACATCTTTGTCGCCATATTTATTACAACGTTTCGGCCGTTGTACGCTCCGGCCTTCTTCAGGTAGTTTGAAAGTCGAACTGAACCCTTTAGACTAAAAAAAAATGTTATCAAAAATTTCCTGAGCCGAACAAGCATAGAAATATCGGAACCAGTAATAAGGAGTGCCAGAGAAAAGTGATAACAACAACAAAGATTACAATATTAGCTCTGGTAAAAACATGCAATGATAACAGCAAAAATTCAATATGAGCACTGGTAAAAAAATGGTTGTTGAAGACATTAGGTTTATAATACCCAGAAATTCCTCAAGGACACATGGCACAGTGGATAAAGGCGTTAGTTAGATCCAGTGGTAGGACCCAAAGAGTGCGAGTTCAATACCTGGTTAAGGCAGTGAGAACTGAGAGAAGGGAATTAACAGGAAACAACTGATAACTGACATCCATTAAACATGGCACGTGGAGCTAGAACAGTCTACCCCAAGCGAAATAAAGGGTTAAGTTCGGCATCCCAACCACCTGAAGAAACGTTGTAATAAATATGGCGACAAAGTTATCAATCATCTAAATAGTGTTATTATGTTAAGCTTTACCAAATAGCACATATAACTAGAACGAAAAGTAATGATGTAATTCAGGAGGTTAACTTTCCCCATTACCTTAAACGTTACGAGAAAGAGCGATAACAGTTAGTGGACATGTGAAGCCTGTTTTCCAGGAAAAAAAATTAAGAAAAAGATTTTATATATTTCGACCGACAGTAGGTCATTGAATACATAATGTTTCCTGTATGGAAACGGCTAATTTCACTATTACATTGTTATCCTCAGCATTACTCTTGTTAATCCTGAGTTCCGGTGTTGGTTTTCAGGATATTTTGTGAATTTCTATATTTCAAATCCATATCGCAAAGCTGAAAGAAATTCGGAAAACTTGGACCTTCGTGCACGCCAAAAAACAGTTTTTCCATTGACGCCGCTATTATTTTAACTACCTTCACTCCTCGGAAATTTTTATTGTTTTAAAAAGCGATGATTACTATTTTAATGAAACTTAAACACATAAAAGCGAATTTATATATTTTCTCTGTTTTTGAGAATTGACAGCGAAAGTAATAAATCTGTATACATGTTATATATAGATATTTTCTAAGCGTAGCTTAGATGTAGTACAAGGCCGAAAGTATGCGGCACCTTGTGAGGATCGAACTCACTTTTCAGTCGTAACTGATCTAGCGAGAAAAGCTTGCTAACCATTACACCACACCGAGGTGTCCTAATTCATTTTATATACATACTAGCTTAAAAGCCTCACTGTGTGCAGACTTTTAAACTAGCTCCTGTGTGGGGCTAATTGGGCCTCCAACCTTAAACTAAAGGGACCTCTGGTCCAGCTTAGAAAACAGCAATAATAATTTGGAAGAAATAACTTTGAATTCTTCAATGCACTGCATGGAACTTCAAGACCACATTTTGACTCTGATTCGGGCTGTAAGTTCAATTCTGGCCAGAAGACCGATTTCGATCGAAATTCCAATTCAGGCCAAAAACTGAGTTCTTCAAATCACAAGCCCCGTGGAATTTCAAAATGTCTCGTCACGAAACCTCTAACTTTATCTCTGATTCCTTGGCATTTTGAAGAAATAAAATTGATTTCCTTAATTCACAAAGCTTTGCAGATATTTTAAACTGAATTGGAAGAAAAAATTAAATTCACAAATTTTTATGTTACTTTAAACTCAATATAAACAAAACAAAAAAAATTTGAAAATCACTAATTTTTTCAGTTATTTTAAAATTTAAATTTTCACTGTTCTCTTCTAATCAGGACACAAATCCTAATGCTGGATGTTCAAGCACCAGATGAATGGCATATTGCAATCCTGGAATCATGGCATATTGAAATCCTGGAATCATCCGAAAAGGTAGTGTGGCCCGAGTTAAAGGGATTTCAGTCACACGGACGAACAGACAAAATCTGCCGTTTATTTATTTAGATATATGTGTTTGTTTGTGTTTTGTGCGCACGCACGGGTGTGTGCAAAAAAAAAAAAAAATAATTGTAATTTTATAGAAAATAAATAAATAAATTCAGTGTCTATACCTACCCCATCATTTTATTTATTTAGTTGTTTTCTATAAAAATATAGAATTTTTTTTTAAATGGAAAAAAGAATGGCCGCCATATTGTTTACGTCTTTATCTGACTCTATGGTTACTGTTTACAAGAATAATAGCTATCATAATAGTCATGTTAATGATAATAACTGAAGCCCAAATAAATGTGGCATATCTTTAAAGGATGACAAAAGAGAAAGAATAAAACAGACGAAAAAAAGTGTGCTACTAAAAAGTGCCGATTGATATGAACTCATCTCTTTGCGTATTCGCAATCACTCAATACTGATAATGTCGCTTATTTTTCTTGAAATCTTGCATGCGTTTATTTTTATTGCTGAACAGTAAAGAATCTTTGTTTGTTTAGCCACCAGCATTGTCGTTACGTCTATTGCATAATAACATATTCAAGTAGTTTTCATTTATTTTGTAAAGTGGATTCATTGATACCCACCAACGGGTACAGTGATGCATGCAGATAGACAAATAGACATATTGCTGTATGTGAAGGTATAAGTTGATACTTCTTTTTCTACGCCTCTTTATCTATCTATCTATCTATCTATCTATCTATCTATCTATCTATCTATCTATCTATGTTTGTTCATTATCAATCTATCTATCTATCTAAATTAGTTCATGTCAAGCTATCTCAGATTGCTCATATCTATCCGTATATGTATTTATTGGATTCTGGCTGTATCTCATTCTGTTCCTTCCTATCTATCTATCTATCTATCTATCTATCTATCTATCTATCTATCTATCTATGTTTATTTTTCCCTACGTATTTATCTAAGAGTATTATCTATTTGTCTATTTATGTCTATTCCTGTTTGCCTATCTATCTATAAATCTTTCTCTCTGTTTCTTTTTCCCCTACCGATTCATCTGAAACTGTTATTATCTGTTTATGTTCGTTCATTATCTATCTATCTATCTATCTATCTATCTATCTATCTATATATATATATATATATATATATATATGCGAATTAGTTCATATCAAGCTATCTCAGATTGCTCATATCTATCCGTATATGTATTTATTGGAATCTGGCTGTATCTCAATCTGTTCCTATCTATCTATCTATCTATCTATCTATCTATCTATCTATCTATCTATCTATCTATCTAATTTTCTTGTACCCCGTGAAAAAATGGTTTGAATTAAGGGCTTTCTGATGCCCCTACCAAGGAAAGTTAGGTGGTTACGGGGGGAAGTGTTTTGTCAACAACTCATTAACTCATTCTCCAACGATAGTGATGAAATACAGGAAAAAGTGGGCATTGCGAATTTCTATTACAATATTTACTTGAAGCTCTGGAAGATGTTTAAAAGCCTATTCCTACCCCTTTTCCAGATAGATAGATATTCATGAATCATTCATACAATAAAACAAATAGAGAGGTTAATGATTTAAATGGCGAGAATACATCTTCGCAAACAATATCAAAAAGATACACCAACCCCGAACCTGTATATGAATGATATGATCCCTGCTTATAAATTCCAGTTGCATAAGTTCTTTTTAATTTTTTACAAGCTTTCGTCAGTTCCTACAGACATCCTCAGGTATGAAAATAGATTTGTTCTTGTTTTTTACTTCTCGGTAATAAGAGGACATTTTCTACTGGCCAGATTGAGAACCAATAGCTGGCTGCCACGAATAGGCAGGAATATTCTATTGGCCAACGTGAAAGCCAACAGCTGACTGACACGAATGTTAACTAGCATGCCAAAAAAATCGATATCTGCATTCGTTACAAGTGGGAAAAATTTAAATCTGCATGGCACTTTACTTCAATTGGCTCATTCGCTTGCTTAAACTCAACGTTGATTCTGATTCCACAGAACTGGGTTGGGTGTGAAAAAGTATTTGTTGTTAACATTCTTTTTTCATTCGTTTTTTTTTAAGCTGATCGTTTTGTGTTCTTTTTGTTTAGTTCTTTTTTCGTAACAGATTTAATGTTTAGTATAGAGCTTAGAAAAAATTCGCAGTGTGAGATAGGCAAAAAGTAAGGCATGTAGCAACATCAGCACGGCAAATGGTACTCCTTTAAAGGCAAGGAAGGGTAAAAATATTTTAAGTCAAGTGATAGCGATTGCTGTATTAGTCGTACGATTTTTGAATCAAGCACGGGAACGCCGGGCCATGCTGCTAGTACTTAATAGATAAGGTTTACTGTACAAAAGAATTACCTAAAAGATAGGTTTACGGTACAAAAGAATTACTTAAATGATAAGGTTTACGGTACGAAAGAATGACTCAAAAGATTAGGCCTACGGTACAAAGGAAATAGCCGAATCGAAAGCAGCCATTGAACTAGAATTTTCACAAATACCTCACGAAATGTTTCCTTATGTTTACAATTCCATTGTTTCTCGTTATCAGTAGTGTCTAGATTAGAAAAATAGTATCAGTTTTTTTCTGTTAGTATTAACAGGTGTATAAGTAAGCCTGTATTTTCTTTTGAAATATGTTCGTATGAAAATATATAATTAAAAACAGAATATTATCAAACGTTGAATGGGCAAACAAACTTAAATTCAAACAGCCCGGAAAGAAGAGTTTATCTCCTGATAACTGGTGATATTCCGCAGCTTAAAACTTGTTTGATGACATCAAAAAAACCTTTCGATAATTTTCAAATCAGTCCATTTTAAATGTTAACGAAGGTACATCATATAATGTTTACAACCCCAATTATCATCCTCCCCCTCCCACTCCTCCTCATCATCCCCTTGACTTTTGTAATCGTAGGGTGGGGGATCCGAATGCAAAAGACGTATTGAATTTCCCCCCACAACGGTCTATCATCGGCAGCCATCAGCAATTCTGGTATAGTCATACTTGTCTATTGTTTGATATTGACCAATCAGTATTTTCATTGGCGTCTTCTTCTACGTCCATCTACAAATGTGCCTTGCATGATGGTCGTGCACAGGCTGTCGTGCTCCTTGTAACGTGTCCAAACCACACCATTCACCCCGTTTGACAGTGATGAGAAGAGGTTCATGGTGGCCCACAAAACTTTCAACCTTTTATGCACAAACTCATTTTTTTTGGGGGGGTTCCTAATAGAAAATGCCAATGAGTTTTCTGCTACATTTGTTCTCAAACGCTTGGATCCTCCTCTCTGTCTCTGCCAACAGTGTCTACATTTCGCATCCATATAGGTTTGTTTTGGTTTGGTTTGTTTTACGTCATATCAAACACAATGGGTCATTTAATACCGACAAAATTTCCTTTTTTCTTTCTTTTTTTTTAAAAAAATGTATAGCTGGTAATATTTTTTAAAAAAATGTATAGTTTGGTTTGTTTTGTTTTGTGGCACATTAACCTCAATTTAATACTGACAAAATTTTTATTTCTGGTAATATTTTTTTTTTCAAATATTTATTGCTGATACTAATTTTTTAAAAAAAGAATTTCTGGTATTAAAATCGACTTTACACTTTCATAGTGTTTTCAGTCAGGTTCTGCGGTCAACTATTTGCCCATAGTTGGGGCCCTAACAGGTTCTACCACCCCAGGTCAGAGTGGGCCTGGGAACACCAACAATTAAGAGGTGGTTCCACGCTCCCCAAAAACCTCCTGATCAGAGGTCTTGCTGTTGGACGTAGTTTATCGTCTTACCCAGCACGCGGATGCAGTTCATCGTCTTACGCAGTACACGGATGCAGTTTATCGTCTTACCCAGTACACGGATGCAGTTTATCGTCTTACCCAGTACACGGATGCAGTTTATCGTCTTACCCAGGACACGGATGCAGTTTATTGTCATACCCAGGACACGGATGCATTTTATCGTCTTACCCAGTACACGGATGCAGTTTATCGTCTTACCCAGGACACGGATGCAGTTTATCGTCTTACCCAGTACACGGATGCAGTTTATCGTCATACCCAGTACACGGATGCAGTTTATCCTCATACTCAGGACGCACATCCATATAGGAGAATCGAGACTATCAACGATTTGAACAGTCTTGTTCAACCACAATACGTTAACGTAATAGAGAATGGAAAAGATGGCTCCTAAATCCGAAGGCTCAATGTAATCGCGAAAGATCCATTCAAAAAAAAGTCGAAAGAAACTGAATAATTTCGTGAGAAACAAAGAGTGCTGAACTTTTATGTAATATCAATTCTGTAATAATGCAGTGAATGCTGGACAATTTCCTGACAAATGAAAAAACGTCTGCAAGCAGCAAAAATATGGCTCTATAGAAGGATGCTGATAATTCCATGGGCGGAGAGTGTAAACAACGATAATGTCTTAAGGAAAATGGAAACAAAACGACACATACTCACAATCAGAAAGAGACAGTTGAGCACATATTGAGGAAAGAAGGCTTCAACAATTTGACTCTCATAGGACATAACGTAGCGAAAGGGACAAGTTAAGGGGAGAGTACCATTTACATGACCAGTATATGCGAATGGGTGACAGTACAGGTATTGAGAGACCGTTAAAAGACAAACGTTACTAAGAGCTAGGGATAGGAAGTTGTGGAGAGCTACGGCTTTCCACGTCTTGAATGGATAAGGCATATAAAAGAAGAAGACGAATCGCTCTCCACGTGGATCTCTCCAAATTTCTGAATTTTCTTTTATTAACTATTTAAATAATTTCAGTAATTTATTTCACCATCTTCCATAACAGAAATATTTCAAAACAAAATTTTCAGTGAGATCTTGCCGTAGAAATATGTCTGAGGAATTAAGAATGAACCGAAATTTGATTCTGCTTTATAGAAGAGACATTAAACTCGTCGAGGAATTAAACCAGCAGTCGAAATGTTGGTAAATGTACGTTATTGGTAATAGTTTTTGTAATGGTCGAGGGCCGGAATCGAATCCTTAACTGACAAAGAAATATGTGACTTTTAACGATATACACAAATAAATAAATAAAAGCGAAATACGTTTTAAGGATAACAAAAAGACAAAATGGCGGAAAAAACTTATGTGCCGTAATACGCATGCGCACGTCCACAGAGCGGCGAATACAATTGCGAATTGTCGTCACAAAAGGAAAGATATAGATTTCCCGCCATTTCTGGCAGATGAAATTTGATCGCATCGATTCTGTTCATTGTATATTTCAGTCAGGATCCCTTTTCATCTAATGCACATTATTCTTCCATTTACTTATTGATCTATCTATTTATCTACGAAGTGGTCGATTTCTAAGTATTTCATCGGTATATAATGCTCTCGTATGCATATATATATATATATATATATATATATATATATATATATATGTAAGTATATTTATGAATAATAAAGACAAAAGGAAAATTTTGCAGATATACTACATCTGAAATGTTCATATATATATATATATATATATATGTGTGTGTGTGTGTGTGTGTGTGTGCGTGCGTGTGTGTATTTAAATTAGTATATAGAATCTCGACTACGCTTTCAAGAAATATGACGAATGTAAAACATTTCATTGTAACTAGATTTCATCACGCGTTTCGCCTTTCTAGGCTTTATTAGATCAAAAATCGAAAGAAATGCACGCACACGCACATTGAAAGGCAAAACGCGTAAGTAAATCTTGTTTCATTGAAACGATTTTCCATTTGCCATATATATACGAAAAAAAAATTTAAAAAA